GGCTAAAACCCTAAACCTGCGGCGGCCTTTAGTCGCGGTTGGCCAGAAGAACCGCGACTAAAGGTCCTCCGCCCCGACGGTCACCTGGCGCCCACGTGGACGGGCCTTTAGTCGCGGTTCTTAAGCAACCGCGACTAAAGGGGGGGGGGCCTTTAGTCGCGCCCGTTCGGTCGCGGTTGCGCAACCGCGACTAATGGCAGTTGCGAACCGCGACCAAAGGCCCTTTTTCCACCAGTGTATACTCGATTTCGAACATTGGGTGGTTGCAAATTTACAGTGTCAGCAGCCAAGGCTTGCTGGTCCCTCTTCTTCCAAACGTTTGACAATCCTTCCCAACTTGTCAGATCCTTTTCTCTTCCTTGCTACGGCCACACGTAAGCGCCAGGCCAAACAGTGCGAGTAGACCCCCTTCAAATTTAATTTCTCCAACCCATTTGATTCCAAGTTGACCTCACTAGCTACACATCTGAGGAGCTGCTTACATCTTCACAGCCTCTAAAAAAGACCACCAGGACCAAGACACGAGGGTCGAGAGCACAATAAGCTGGTGGAGGTCTTCATTTGCTCCATCATCAGAAGAAAGGAGAAAAAAGAGAGGAGAAAAAACAATGAACAGATGGGTCTCATGACTCTTGTGGTTAGAAACCTCTCAGAACACATTTTGCACGTGTGATGTTTGAGGCCAGGCGGTCCTGCTTCCGGGAAACGGGGCCTCGCTGTGAGGCAGCTGATTCCTCTCTACTTCCTGGAGAGCCTCCTCCACTGCCTTTTCTACCTCGCAGGCCGCAATCTGTGAATAGGACACGTGAGGAAAGCAGCATGGTTAGTTAAGAGTGTACAAGCGGCTTACTATATATAATATGATACTGATCAATCATGCATTGAACCTTGAGTAAATGTTAAGCTTGACACTGCATTATTCAGATTGGGGATCCGTTGACTTGATTCATTTTGGTGTAGTTCTTAAAAAGGGCAAGATTGTTCGATTCTTGCGGAAAAAATTGACCTAACAGTAGCTGCAGAATTTATTTTGTTTGACAGTAACAGCGGATGCGGATTAATTCGACAAGGATTGGCCCTGCAGATTTTATAACATGTAAACTGGCAAAGGATATGTTCAAATGATGTCTTCATCAGTCAGAGGGTTTCTAACACAACTTTTGACACAGATTCCTCGGCGATAGTCAAATTTTTTATTTGTCTTGCTCAAATTTTAAGCTGTGCTTTCTCGTGATTTGTATTAGAAAAGACCGAGTGTCAAATTTTGATGAAAAGTGTAAACGGTCGAATGAATTAATATGTCCCTTCAGCAATTTTATAGTATACTTTGATCCTCACATGGCTTAATCCGGATTCTCACAACCAAGATGTTTTGTAGCTTTCAACAAAAACACAAGATTTAAAACATATTGCAGTCATTTCTAGAACTAATTTTAGAATCCTCGTCGTTATCCTATCGATGATGCAGTCCCTATCGAACAGCGCAATGATGTACTAGTAATGGATATCGATGATGTAGTAGTGTACTAAAAGAACACGGAAATTCCGAAAAAATCTTGTGGGTGACTCAACTGTTGTGTATTTTCTAACCTGAAGTTTAGTCGGGTTTATTATTGTCAACAAAGCAGGTAGGAGGACTAAGGTAAGAAAAATGAAGCTAGCTCACCGTGGTTTCGACATTCATCTCCGTCGTCAACCGCTGGCCGGACAAGATGGAGTGGATCCCCCTGGTCTTGACATTCATGCTCTTGAGGCGCGTGAGGGCCCCGATCATGGAGTCGACGGAGGACGAGGGCTCGTCCACCTCGAACTGGACCTTGACGCACTGCTGCTGCTCGTCGTGCCCCAGGATCTTGGCCTTGAGCTCGTCGTTCCTCCTCTGGAGCTGCTCCTTGGCGACCTTGAGCTCGTGGATGTAGACGGCCGCGGACTGCACGATCGAGTTCTTGTCCTGCTGCAATGGCATCACCCATTCATTCGTTCAGCACGTGGCATTCGAGCGCTTGCCGAATTCAGCACAGGGAATCGATCATTCAGTGAGATGGAATGTGGAATGTTGGGTACCTTGGAGCGGGAGGAGACCATGGCGTAGAGGTCGGCGTAGCTCTGGCTGAGCTTCTCGCGGCGCTGGCGCTCGCGCATCATGTGCCGGAACCCGCGGCTGCTCTCGACGGCGCCGGCCGCCTGCTGCTGCTGGTGCTGCGGCCGCTCCTCCTCCTCAGCGGCCGGCCCCATCCTGCCCAGCACGCCCATCATCCTCCGGTGGATGTTGATCCCGTTCCCGGTTCCTCCCCGGGCCGTCCCCGGAAGCTCCAGGCCGACGCCGCGGTACTCCCGGAACGCGCTCTGGCTCTCTACCACCGCAGGCAGCGGCTCCGAGAGCGACGCAATGAGGTCGGCGAAGGGCAGGTCCGGCGAGCCGGGGACGCCGCAGCCGGCGAAGAGGTGGGCGTCGTCGTGGAAGTAGTAGGAGTCCATCTGCATTTGCGTCGATCCCGCCGGCCGGCCTCCTTCGCTCCTCTGCTCTGCGTCGATGAGTCGCTGCTGGGCGCTGTGTGTGTGCTTGCTTGGTGAAGGTGAAGTGTTTGTCGGGAAAATGTCCGGACGCGGTTATATAGCCGCGGCGGGGGAGGAGGGGGGCCCAAGTGGCGGATTTGGGTCACGTGGTCAAATGGACCCGTACGGTCTGAGAGAGAGGCGGAGAGGGCTAAAAGAGGCGAGACGGTCAAAGCCGGGACGAATTATTTTTTTCTCGTTTATTGTGAGCTCGGCCGGGGGCGCGAGTCGGAATGAGCACGAGGTAGTGATGGGCCTACTCGCGGCAACGCGGTACGCGATTGGGGCGATGGCGTCGCACACTTAGGCAAAGGCAAACGCAGAAGGTTCCACGCGGGAGCCCGGCTGACAAAGTGCGCAGCTCGCTCTCGCGGTAGCACTTCGCTTGCGGCTGGCAACCGCCGGGACGTCAACCTCGTTCGTTGGCATGCCGATTTATCCCAACTTCTTTTTTCACAGCGAGCGAGCGTTCGTCTTAACTTCTTCCGTCCCAAACAGCACCGCGTTTTATTTCCTTTTTGATTTCTTTAGCAAAAGCAGCTTTTTTTTTAAGAAACAGACGTATGCGCCTATTTTGATATCTATAATTCCGTGAAATCTATACTCATGGGGTGTTTGGCTTTGTCTTTCCCTGTGTTTAAGAAACAGACGTATGCGCCTATTTTGATATCAAGATTTTCACCGTTCTTGAACTTTTTTTACACTGAATATAAATTGAAAGCGCCGCACATGGGTTTTAAAACTTCCTTCGCCCAACCTATCCTCAGGAGTTCGAGATTTTTTTGGGGAAACTACCATCCCATATAACAACACTGGACCGATTTTCGGTTCATGAACAATGTTGCACTATGAGTATCTCATAACCTACCATATAAAATCAGATACAAAAGTGGGCAATAAGCGCTAAGCAAATACAGTACTAAAAATAGCCAGAAGAGGATTGAGCAAACGGGGTTATTGTAGTCCAGCACATCCTTAATTAATCTCTACGTGAAGCAAGCAGCTTCACTTCATTAATTGAAATACCAATTGTTTCACAAGCTTGGGTTGGTTCGACGGGCACACATACATTAACTGTTTTGACATGTATTTACTACGCTGAAAGTGTTAAAATATCTCTATATTAGTATCCAAAAAATTAGAGCAGCATTTTTTCAAGCCTATTTTTGCAGTGGCATTTTTTGATTTTGAGGTGTTATCAAATTAACCCTTATTTTTTTATCTCATGGATGGGGCTAGGTCTATGCATGGACCGCCCGGTCGGACTGCCCTGGCAAGAAAGTCGGGTGGTCAGGCCAGGCTCTCGCTTAGTATTCTAGTCGAAGCTTGGCCTGAGAGCCCGATAAAAAGCCCCAAATACCCAAAAACCAGGAGTTAACAGATATATAGGGATAATAATGTATTCATATATCCCAAAAAAATGATTAAATGCCATTTC